ACACATTAGCAAAGAAAGTCTTGAGTGGTCATCAGTAGTGGAAAACAGTATTGAAACATATTTATTTATTTATTCTTTATTAACATGTACATATATATATATATATATATATATATATATATATATATATATATATACAACAGGCGATTAACTCTGTAAAGTTCTCTTCCAGCAAACCCTGAGTGGAAAGGAGCATTAAATTACATTAAAATACATACTTGAAGTAAATTAATATATATAAAAAATATAAACATATTTAATTCAATAATAATATTGTAATATATGTATAAATATTAAACGTTTGTATGTTTTATAGGAATTTATAACGGTTTTAAATTTATCTTTAATCCTTCTTTTTCCCTGTTTTATTTTTTTACTATTACGTCTTAGTAAGACGCAACTTTAATTATTCCTTTGCACCCTAAGGTTGCCTGGAAGAGATTACTATTTAGCGATAAAGCTGGTCATTGTTGCTTCTTTATCTTGCTTTTATGTAACGCGCAAAAGAGATTAAGAGATATATATAAGAAGTATTTATACAGAATGTGCAAATGAATAAGGCGACCTTACCGCTAAAGGCAATCTCTTATTTATACTTATATTTGTTATATATATTAAATACACTTCGGTGTAAATGGGGTATACAGAAACAGGCACGAGCGCGCATCAGATGCATCGCGTCACTTTGCATATTCGCGAATCGATGTTTGACCAACGCTCTTCGCAAAATGGCCGACCTGTTGATTGAATTTTTAATCCGTACTCTCCGAGGCCAGTGGCCCGAGATTGTTTTAATATCTGTTAAAAAAAAAACCCGGTTTAAACCAGTCATAATATAATTATTTTATATAACCAGTCGCTGTAAATGCAGGTAGTCTTTTAATATGTATTACGCCCTCAGCGCTCCGAATTGTAATGCGATTCATGTAAAGTGTCATTTTTAAATATGCCTCCATCTTGGATTTTTCTGTTACAATTTATTTTTAATGCAAACATTTTTTTTTTATTTATTACATATAACATGTATATTTCATATATAATACAAATACAATATAAACTACAATTGTTTTTTTATCGTGTACTTGATGAATCGTCTATAGGTATGTATTGTCTTATACAATTGAAGTTATTTTATTACTGTCTTTATTAAATCCTTTCTAATATTTTATTGTTAAAAATATCGTAGATACATTCAGTTCTAATATAATAACTATTATTTTAACTTACATTTATTTTTTTATACCACGAAAATTGTAAACAAGCATACAGCCAGTCTGATGGTAAACGGTTATTGTAGCCTATGAATGCCTTATCACTAGTGGTATCACGTGTGCATTGCCAACCCTAACGAAACCTTAATATATAAGAACAAATAAAAAAAAATTTACCTCAAATAAAATTGAAACAAAAAGCGAATATTAAACTAATGTTTAACTGTAAAGGACAGAATCTATTTGAAGTCGTTCTCCTTTTTTGAAGTCGGTTAATAATAAAAATCATTCATTCGACGTGTCGAACAAAACATGTTTTTAAAGCCAGCAGAAAGCTGAAAGCCGTAGGCGTATTTTCAAAATATACACATTTATTTGACAAAAGTGTGCGGTGCGTTTTTCTTTACTGTTTGTCCATGGGACGTAATGAAAGTGGGTATATCAGTATAGCTCTGCCGTGGCTCTTACGCCTGACTCAATTAATGAAACCGAAACAACCGCACTCTGTTTGTATTGTACTCGTACAGAACGAGCGCAGTTCGCAAAAATATATTATTTCTTTATATATTTTCAACGGAGAGGGACTTCGTACAAAATTCATCTGCGTGGGTGGTAAACAAATTAAAATTCTCGAAAGAAAGAATTACCTGTATCTACGGCACTATACAATATTTTATATGTATATAACCTATTGTTATGTAATGCTGTTGATCCAAATTGTTTTTTTAGATAATTTTTTTCATTTCTGTTAATATAATTTTATTTTATACTACAAAGGTTACAAACAAGCATACAACACGTCTGATGGTAAACGATTACTGTAGTCTGTGAACGCCTGCTACATTAGGGTTGTCACTGCGCAAAAATGTTTTCTACGAAACAAAATTTTAAATCGTATTAATAAATACTAACACCAATTTTAAGGCGTGTATTGCTTTAATTAATATACTGTATATTTATTTATTTATTCATTAGTACAAATATGTGTACATGGCGGACTTAATGCTAAAAGCATTCTCTCCCAGTCAACCATAGGGAAGTGTCAGAATACTCGAATGCGGTACTACTAATTATTGATATACATACATACTAAAGTTACATATATAAACGAATAAATATATATAAATAACAAATATACTTACACATATATGACATATACTATATTATACACGGAATTGAGAATAATATAAAGTACTTACTGCTCGGATAAAAATAAAAAGTGTGCGTTAACGCTTTTTTTGAAAGAAAGTATATTGCTTTATACAATACTTTAATTAATTAATTATATTGTTTATTATTGTTTTCTGCCATTTGCTGTAGACATGATAGGCTCCTGAGGCCCAGATGCAAAGAATTTTTATCGGACGATCGTAGAGCGCCTCATCGAGGTTACTGGTGACCCGAGAGCTGGTAACTACTTTGCGCAAAAAATAAATTTAGCAAACCAGAGAGGTAATGCTGCCAATATCTTGTGTACGCTGCCAGTGTGGTGCATTGGGGGACTATTTATAATTAGAAATATAGTATTTAAGAAATTATATATTAACTTTAACTATATAAATTATATAAGATTAATTAAATTATTGTAACTATGTTGTAAGAATGTTAAATAAAGGTTGTTATTATTATATTGCTTTTTAAAAATCTACAGAACACCTGCAAATCCTCCGGAGTTGTCAGTGTTCATAGGCATCAGTAGTCATTTACCGTCAGATGAATCACATACACTTTTGCCTCTGTGTTATAAAAAAAATGTCGCTCAAAACATCTGTTAAGGCGAATGTTAGTCTTCCAGAAAATCCACATTATGTTCATAAACAATGTGTTCAGAAAACTCCACCAAAGCCTGTAACTGGATGACGCAAGCCTCCTCGAACTTGGCAAAGTATGGAAACGGAGCCGAAATATTAAGTTAAGGCGTATTATTTGAGTTGCTAAGTTACACACGCACCGACGGCATTTTGGCTGTTTGCATAATCATAAATAAAATCAACGAAACAAAACTTGGGCTTGCCGCTTTGCCGCTCATTCTGTTAGTTTTAAAGCATGTATATTATTGTATAATTTTAAACCAAAGGCACTGGGGAATTAATACGGCGAAATACGTTAATCTTTGCGTTTTAAATGATTATTGAAGGAGTTTGTTTTCAAGCGACTTCTAAAAAAAGCCAGTTCTCAATTTGTTACCTCATAACTCCGTCAGTTGTAAACCAATTAGCAAAATCTTTTTTTATTTGGTTAGATATACTTTCAGATTGGTCTGATGGAAATTTTATCCAAATCGGTTCAGTAGTTTAAGACTTAATAATAGTAATCAAAATAAGTTATTTTTTCTGTTATTGCATTTTTTTGTGTTTTGGGTCTTATAAAGAGTTAAATAAATAAATAACTGGTTTTGCCACGTTTTAAGTTGATTTTTTTAAAATACTTGCTTAAATTATATACTAACACAACCTGTGACCATACTTTCCGAAGCAACAGACTTGTTTAGGAAAAATGTTTAATAGTACTATTATATATATATAATGGTAAAAGTAATAATAGTAATTAATATAATAAACCCTTTTTTTAGGACATTTCAACTCTAACTTGTATAAATATATAAATCTTAAATTATATAGATAGGGAATCGAGTCTCAAAAACGGGACAACTTTTTGTCAGCTAATTGTCAAATCAGCTGACTCGTTTTTTTATCAGTTTTCTATATACTTTCACAATTAATGTATATATATATATATATATATATATATATATATATATATATATATATATATATATATATATATATATATATATATATATATATATATATATCGTGAATCCGATCAACTAGATGTATTAAATAAGGTGGATATCATTACATATCCTTAAATCCCAAGAGCAATATAAGATATGTGATACTTTGAGAAATCCAATATGGCTGTGCGTCTTACTTCATCTAAATTGAGAGCCTCCTACATGGGCCTATTTCCTCTATCATAAAGTCTATGTAAATTGAATGTTGCAATTAAATTGTAACATAGCCTTTTCCCATTATAAGTCACTTCCAAGTGGAAGTTGTATTTTTTTTTTCTGTGTGTGTTACCAGATCAAGTGTTTTTTTTTTTTTTGCAATTTTAAACAAAATAAAAATATATATTTGGGAATTGTTTCAATCATTCGTGTAGTGTTTACATGACAAAACGTAAGGAAAAGCGACACTAGTTTATTATTAAATAAGAGTAAATCTTATCAGTTTAGAGAACAAATATTATAACAGTAAAATACATACCTACCATGTAAACAAATTTGTAACGAAAGTAATTATAAATTAATAATATATAATATGTATATGTATAAATTGATTTCCGTTACCACTTTTTGGTGGTCGATTGTCGCGATTAATACGATTACTATTTAATGTAGACGTATCCCTGTTCTAAATTCAAATGTTTTAAATCTAATCTTTGAAAACATATTGTTAAAAAATTTTACCTTTTTATTGCTTTTACATGGAGAATTTCTATCTATATAATCTAAGATCTATACATATAAAATAATTTATCCTGACCGACTGACCACACAACCAGAACTACTAAGAAATCAAAAATTTAAAAAATCCTATTTTATATCGTATGCATTCGCTACTAGAGGATTTTTGAAAATTTTAACTTAAAAGGAAAAACAAAAGCAGGCGTGAACAGCATTAATCTATATGTGTAAAAGGAAAGCTATTTGTTGATGAAATTTGCTAACGTATAATTTCGGTTCTCACATTTTTACATCTCTCATTCTCACATTTCACATTTTTATATCTCATATTCCCACATTCTCACATTTTCACATCTCATATTCTCACATTTCACATTTTCACATCTCATATTCTCATATTTTACATTTTCACATCTCATATTCTTACATTTCACATTTTCACATCTCATATTCTCACATTTTACATTTTCACATCCCATATTCTCAAATTTCACATTTTCACATTTCATATTCTCACATTTCACATTTTTACATCTCATATTCTCACATTTTACATTTTCACATCTCATATTCTCACATTTCACATTTTCACATCTCATATTCTTACATTTCACATTTTCACATCTCATATTCTCACATTTCACATTTTCACATCTCATATTCTTACATTCCACATTTTCACATCTCATATTCTCACATTTTACATTTTCACATCTCATATTCTCACATTTCACATTTTCACATCTCATATTCTCACATTTCACATTTTCACATCTCATATTCTCACATTTCACATTTTCACATCTTATATTCTCACATTTCACATTTTCACATCTCATATTCTCACATTTCACATTTTCACATCTCATATTCTCACATTTCACATTTTCACATCTCATATTCTTACATTTCACATTTTCACATCTCATATTCTCACATTTCACATACTCACATTTTTACATCTCATATTCTCACATTTCACATGCTCACATTTTTACATCTCATATTCTTACATTTCACATTGTCACCTCTCACATCTCACATTTTCACATTTCACATCTCAGATCGCACAATGTCACATCTCATATTCAGACATGTACGTTATAAATCAATTTCCACATTAGCCACCGTTCCATGCGTACATCACCCTGGAAGCTGTATATGTATAAGAGCCGCTTAATTAATATTATAACAACACGAGCTTATTACAATAATTAACTCGATAATTATCTTGTTACAGGTATATCAGACTATGATCTACGGACTCCTCGTTAATTAATTAACCAGTAAGATTTTAGCTTTAATGTATTTAGTCATTAATAGCTGTCAGCCTGTTACTTCGTGCGCGTAGATTTAAAGTAAGGAAGACTTATAAAATTGACCATTCCTAGATGGCGTATCAAGATGAGACATATACTAGATCTTAATTTAGAGCTATAGGAACACAACTGTAAGAACTTCATCCAATTTGGTGCAGTAATTTTTGCGTGATGTCGAAACAAACGTACAGTCGAACAGAGAGACAAAATTTCTAAAAGGTATTTTTCTGCTGTTTATTTAACATATCTCATTAAAATCCCTCAGATCAGTGTTTCTTAAATATCTCCCCATATACAGGCATTATTTAGTTACAATTTTATTATATTAATAAGATTTACATATAATGTATTTATACATGAAATCAAATTTGTTAGCATCCATTGAAGGTACTGCTCTACTAGCGAAACTAAACATCTAAAGAAGCATGGAACGAAAAATATGCCATGTAACCATTACTAATATTATAAATGTGACTGTGAGTTTGTTACCTTATACCACCTTAACGGCTTAACCAATCACTATGAAATTTGCTATACACGTACTATACGGGACGTAGAAAATATAGGGCTTTTTATCCCAGATAGTAAAGATATCCCGGTTTAACGAAGTGGCATAAAAAAAAATACAAACGAATCGAGAACCGCCTGCTTTTGGGAGTCGTTTAAAAATATATAAACACAAATTAGAGAACAGGGCGGGGTGCATACCATATATTTTCAACAATTGCTAATTAAAACCGGTTGTAATTGATTTAAGCCGGCCGTGAAATTAACTCGGCTCGGAATAATTACAGAAACATTCCCTTTAAGGAGATACTTCAAATGTTCTCCTCACGATCGCATAGAGTTAATAATGTTCAAGACACGGTAACGGGAATTATTTATTTAGCAAAAACAAACAACGAAAAAAACACGTGACAGGATGTTTCATTAAGACGTTTAAAGATAACACACACACATTGTAGGTGATCATGGGCGGCGGTAGTCACTTACCATCAGGTGAGCCGCATGCTCGTTTGCCCCCTGTGTTGTAAAAAAAAAAAATTAATTGAAAATATCTACACGTGGTTCCTAGAGACATTAAATTGGAGTTGTTTAAAGGTAATCGAATGACTTTAAAGTATCTGTAGATGTTGATTACGCTTTCCATTAGGTAGACCGTCACTATTTTGCTATTCTAAGTTACATAAAAAAATCATAACACCGAATTGTGTATGTACAGTACAGTTTTTTTTATGCAACATAGAATGGCAAACAAGCTGACGGTTCACCTTATGAAAAGTGATAACCGTCGCCTATAGACATGAGCAGTACCATGGACATAACAAAGTATACTGTTTTGCCCATGATACTGAGAACTAAGGTGTTAAAGATTTTACTAAGATTGTATTTAACAACAAACATTTTTTATTGATTTGTAAAAAGGAAAGCTCCATTTACCAGATCCTTACTAAATATTGATCAACATAACTTTTTGATCATATATTCATTTACAATTACATTAAATATATGGAGAACTTACATCTTTTAAAACTATTTGAAAACTTTTTCAATTCCATATGAAAATTTTTATCTTTTTCATTTCTTGTCCTCATAACAAAGGAAACACACAATTGTAGAAACACAAGCGGGACAAAGATACCCAAGCACTTAACTTTTCTATAAAGTCTCTCATCAAACAACTATAAAATTTTTTTTATACAAATGATTAAAGAAATCGTGTTCTCTCTAAACAATTGCTGTGTCTACGTAAATTTAATTGCAAGCACTCTTCTGGTATCCAAAGGTGATTTATGTGTTCGGAGCGAAAGCACGAAAGTTACAAGCATTTCTTTATTTGTATAATACGATTATATGCAGGTATATTATTTATTGTTTTTTTCTGCAAAGGAAAGCAATTAGTTTCACTTGGCAGCGGTTTGCAAACAATTATTTTGAGTAATGCTCAGCATTTAAACTAAAAATGTATGTTTTGTCTTTATTTTTAAGCCATCTTAAAGATATTTATGTATGAGTAAAGTCTAAACACATATGCCACTAGAGGGCGACACTCTTAAACGAATCAATAGTAGCAGTGACCTAATAAGTATAAAATATTTTGTTTTTTTTTTTCGTCTATATTTTAAACTAATCTTATTATTCTTTTTTGCCATAAAGACTGCAATAAATACAAGCAATTATTATATAACAAATTTATGTACGACAAACGAGAGAGAAAGCTCTACCGATTTTAGAAAGAATCATCAAAATCGATAGAAAATTAACGAACATATTTATTTGATTAAATATTTTCCTGAAATAGGTATTCAGTATAATATTTAATCGTCGAAGAAGTTCAACAGTAATCTAATTATTATAACTGTCCCGTGCTGGAAATTAAACCAAATTAATCCGAGTGACCGCGGTAGGCTCCCTCCTGCCACGTCATTCTCATTCGTCAATATGCTCAGCGATATGTGGGCCATCGACAAATGCCTCTAATTACCCTATCAGATATTGTAGTGGTGAGTGAGTTATATATTTATTTATTATGTTTCCAACAGACTTCAAAAAGAAGGAGATTGTATTTCTTATGTTTGTTACTACAAACTCCGCCAGTTCAAAACCGATTTGGAAAAAACTTTTTTTTTGTTTTAAAGAATATAATTCCAGTTTAGTTCCATAGAAATTGTATCAATATCGGTTCAGTAGTTTAGTTTTTAAATCTAAATAACGTCAGTTTTTTTTAGGACACAATCTTTAAAGCAGTTGTTTTTGCATGGCTGTGTTTCGGTTTGAAGGGTGGGATATGGCGTGAATTTACTGGGTACAGAGGAATAACACCTGAGTCCTCAGGAATGGCAACGCATGGGGGTATCATGGGCGAAACAGTATACTCTGTTATGTCCATGGTACTGCTCATGTCTATAGGCGACGGTTACTACTTTCCATCAGGTGGGCCGTCAGCTTGTTTGCCATTCTAAGTTGTATAAAAAAAAAACTCAAATGTAATCATGTTTAATCAATATTTCTTTATGTATAGGAATTTCTATAGCATATTATTATGTAATTTTATTACATTAATGTTAAGAGAAAAGAAAATTGCTTATGTAAGCAAACACTGTCGGTGTACTTTGCTTATATTATCTGCTATCAAGTGTACAGAACGACTTATTTCCAAGGATAATGACTCTAGAAAAATCCCTTCTCCAATACAAGTATTATAAATTATCATAAAAACGCTGCATCATATAATCGTCCGTTACCCGAGTGTAACCCTGAGGTACGTTAGGTAATCTGGTCCCGGTTTTCTTAGAGGCTTATTACATTATCATATTATATATGTGCGATCATATATAGAGTAATTTATGAAAGCTTTCAACGCACTTTTAACATGTTAAAAGTGTTAGGTCTAAAAAATAGTTACCTGAATCGTGACAAAATTTATATTATATATCACATCACCATACCAGAGGGCGACTTTGTACAAAAGTCGTTTGCTTGGGTACCTCTGTCCCATTCTTGTTTCAAACGTAAAGCAGTTGTGTTTGCATGGCTGTGTTTCGGTTTGGAGGGCGGGATATGGTGTGAATTTACAGTGTACAGAGAAATAACACCCGAGTTCTCAGGAATGGCAACGCATGGGAGGTATCATGGGCGAAACAGTATACTCTGTTATGTCCATGGTATTGCTCATGTCTATAGACGACGATTACCACTTTCCATCAGGTGGGCAGTCAGCTTGTTTGCCATTCTAAGTTGTATAAAAAAAATCAATACCGGAAAAAAACAGTAATAGTTGCAAAAACAATGACCAAAATTGGTCGCTAAGATATCGCATAATTAATAATTTATATCCATAAACAATATTAGCGAACAGAACAGTTTTTTTTTTTTGTTATTATAGTTTTTTTTTTTTTTTGTTAATTATTGAATATATTATATATTATTTATAAATTTTGAAAACATATCAAGATTGTTTATATACCAGTTATAAAAAAACACATGTACATAAAGGCAAATTTGATTGAAAATGAAATTCGAAATACAAAATTCAGTTTTTTAAATTGCGAATTGTCTCAACGCAAGTGTAATCTATCCGTTATACTCAAGCCCTGGCGATTAAAGGCAAGAGCCATCTGCATACATATTATCTAAGCGCAGTGAAGGCAAGATCGTGCCTTATCCGGCCAGGATGAAAATAAAACAAAAGTGTGCCCGCCTGTTGCGGAGGTGCTTTTCTTATTTTTGTCGTGTACTTACGGGTTATGTAGTGATGTACTATGTATTATATCGATAGAATTAATTGTATCTATCATTAAAATGCTCATTAGACATTTCCTGAAGTAGACATACATTTTAATATTTATGGATGTACTACAATCATACCGGTAGAAGAAAGAGAGAAGAAATGTGAAAGAATAACGAAGTATATTATTTATTTGTTACCTTTTCACGTTTTATCTTCAGTCATGATATTTAAATACACATGACTATGCTCATTTCATTTTATTAAATTATTTATGTTGAGTACTTTGATAATTAGAACGATTACTTATAGTATTGCCAGTGTTAAATATATCAATTTCAGTGCGAGATATAAAAAAGTTACTGTCGCTAGAATGTCTTCC